GGATCATGGTCCAGGGCTGGCCTAAGGCAAAAAGCACTGTCTGAGACCTTACTTGAAAAGTAACTACAGCAAAAAGGGCCAGGGACATGGCTCAAGTAGTAGAGCACCTGCTTAGCAAGCATGCAACCCTGAGTTCAATCCCCAGGAAACCTCCTCCCCCGCAAAAAAAAAAAAATGGCTTTAATGCTTTGTAGGGTTTGGGACTGTAGACCCATCATAATTTAGGAGAAGGGAAAAAACTATTTCTTAAGCAAATATGCTTTCCTATCCACTCTCATTGATATATTTTTTGTTTGTTTTGGTGGGACTTTGAACTCAGGGCTTCACACTCCCAAAGCAGGCACTCTACTGCTTGAGCCACTCCTCCAGTCCATTTTGTTCTGGTTATTTTGGAGATAGACTGGCCTTAAATTGGGATCCTGCTAATCTTAGTCTCCCAAGCAGCTGGGGATATAGGCGTGAGCCACTGGTACCCAGCTTCATTGGTGTATATTCTAACAAGAACCCTGTGAGACAAGTACACTGTTTTCCTCCTATTTACAAATGATGAAATTGAAGATTTTTTATTTATTTACATTTGGTGGTGTTAGTTTTGAACTAAGGGCCTCTTGCTAGACAGACACTCTACTACTTGAACCATGCCCCCAGTCCTGAAATTTAGGATGAAGTTCAGGAAAATGCTTAAAATCACAGTAAGTAACTAGATGGGGGTCTTAATCTCAAATTAACCCATTTTCAAAACCCATGGTCTTTACATATTTAAATTCTTGGTAGTTGGTAGTTTTTAAAACCTAGGAAGTTTAACTAGTAAAGGCTGCTCAAGTGAGGTAGAAGTCTGTTATTAAGCATACCTTCTTACTCTGAACTTTTAAAGTTCTCGAGGGCAGATTCCTTTTCATATGTGCGTGTTCTCACAGTCCCTAGCCCAGTTCTTAGCACTTAGTAAAAGTTCATGGAATTGTATGGAATTAATAAATTAAAGATTAACCTGAGCAGTTTTATTTCCGTGACATGGAGAGTCAGTAAATAAGATGCAGCTCTCCTACTTTGTAGCCCCTTCTTCTATTCTGTCCAGGTTGTCAGCTAGACATCCTTGTTCTGGTTTATTGCCACCACTCACAACTGTTCTTCTGTGCGTGTTATAAAAAGGATCTGGGTGGGAGTTGGGAGGAGTCCTAGCAATGAGATAGACTTGGCAGTGCTTCTAAAGAGTTTAATCCATATAAATGAAAAGATTATACCATTCTTCTGATACTGGTTGATTGTCATGAAATTTGAAGGACATCATTGTTTTAACTTAAAATATAGATTGTATATTACATGTGAAATTAATTTTGATTGGCTCTAAAATTGAATCTCTTCACAATTGAATTGAATTGAAAACTCAATGGTAGACTGGTGTAATTGTTAACCTGTAGAAATCCACTATGTATATTAAAGCTCCATGATCTGAGAAAACAGTGCTTTCAAATAAAACTTGTTTTGACAGTCACAGGGGAGACACATTGAACTTACATTGTTGCTTTGTAGTTACTTACTTTTCATATGAGATCTACATAATATGCTCCCATTTATGGATTTGCTAATTTAAATGTGATTCATTTCCAAGACAGAGAATTCTAGACCAGAATAAAAGGACAGACTGTTACACTGTTTGATAGGACAGCCACTGAAGTATATCCTTTATTCCTGCTACCCAAGTATTCTATTAATTTTTCTCTTGGGATAAAAGGCTTATTGGTTCATGGTGTCAGGTGTGTATGGAGAGTTGTTAATGAATTCTGGAATTCCGCTAGTGGTGAGGGAGAACAATAGAAATCCCATGGGCTAGTGGAAATTGAGAGGTTTGAAACGGGTCAGGGAAAACAGCTGCTGTTACGGATATTGCATAGATTGATGTTAGGAAGAAGGATTGGCATGGGTGGGAGCATGTGAATACCTTTGGCTTGCCCACTGATCATTTCAGACCTGATGAGATAGAAACTGAATGTTCCTAAATCTGTATGGGTACTGTTGGTCACTAAAAGTTTTAAGACTATTTTGACCACTTAATTTCTCTTCTGTTAGCATTTAGTAAATAAAATGATTGCATAATATGGCGATGATATAAAAGTAATCATAATGTAGAGTTTCCTAAAAGGGTTAAATGAATTTTGCACGTGTAATCCTTGTGAGGTGCCAGTTGAAGAGATGAGTGTAGAATTGGAGCTGCAGGATTATTCAGTTACTATAAGGCTTTCATAGAGAGGTGAGGGTAATCACAGGAAATCAGAAAAGGTAGGATTGGCTAGAGAGGTTAGTGTGAACTAAGGGTGTGGTGGTGCATATGTGCCTGTAGTCCCAGCTACCTGGGAGGCTGAGGCCGGAGTATTGCTTGAGCCTAAGAATTTGAGGCCAGTTTGCAATACACAGTGAAACTCAGTCACTATCAAAAAGAGAGAAGAAGAAAAGGAAATAACACATGAAAATAGACAAGTTGGTGATGGTTACACTGAAAAGTAGAGTTAAAGTTTTACTTTTTATTAATTGTTTTATTGGAGGTACATGGTGACATTTTTAAAAGTTCTTAAAATATATCATAGAAAATTTTACCTTTCTGATGTAGATCCATCCCTAGGTCTTCTTGCTTTTCTGAGATTTCTTACCTTTCTCCGTGTACCGCCTTCCCCTCCTCGTGGACATGTATATATTCAGAACAATAGTTCAGAAGAGGCAACATCAAAGTGATAAAATAGCACAGAAGAAAGAAAACCAAATCAAGAATGAAGAAAACTACTTTTGGCATTAGCTGTCTGACTTTAACAAGTTGCTTAAGACCCAGCAGATTAAATTTTGATTAAGAATTTAATCAGCTATAAAACCAGCTTTTGTTTTGACTTTTTGCCACAAATCTTTGGAAAACCTACACATTGGGTTTTAGAATGTAAATGCTCTTTTCCAACCTCATTTCCATGAACATTTTTAGCAAATGCCTATAAAGTCACATTATAGAAACTTTGAACATTCCTTTTTTGTTTTTTGAGGGGGTACTAGGGTTTGAACTCAGGGCTTCACACTTGGCAATGCAGGCACTCTACCACTTGAGCCACACCTTCGGTTCTGAACATTCTTTCTTGTTTTCTTGAGTGTAACTCTACTATAATGAACAGGCAGTTTGGTAGAAGTCTCATCTGCAACAACTTGTAAATAAAGCTTTTGCAATTAGTACATTGATTTACTAGCTTAATATTGTGTTGAATATGAGGGTAATAACAAGTGAGCAGAAGTGATGAGATTAAAAGAAGGCTGACTATGGGTACATGGACCCCATTCTTCAAACTCTTCAATCTGTATGCATTTCTGTTGACAAGCCTGTGGCATAAGATTGGTAAAATTTCTTAATCCCAAACTGGTGGCTCACACTGTAATTCCTAGCTACTTGAGAGGCTAAAATCAAGAGGCTTGTGGTTTGAGGCCAGCCAGGGCAAATAGTTCACAAGATCCCATCTCCAAAATAACCAGAGAAAAGAGATTGGAAGTTTGATCAAGTGGTAGAGTGCCTGCATTGCAAGCTCAAAACCCTGAGTTGAATCCCCCATCCTACCAAAAAAAAAAAAAAAAAATTTTTTTTTCTTTATCCCAGAACAGTAGAGATAACTAAATTATAGAATCAGAGGTCATCTTTCAAGCATTAAATGCAGTTGTAGTAGAGAGTTTGGGGACCTCAAAACCTAAAGTATTTTCTGGTCCTTTACAGAAAAAGTTTGCCAACACTCTTGAATAGATCAAAGCTTTCATTTTATAGGTGGAGAAAAAAGACACAGAGAATAAAATGTTTTGAAATTACACAGCTAATTAATGGTCACAGTGCAAATACAGTTTAGATCTTTTTTTTTTTAAGTTTTCCTGAGGGTTTATTACAAAACTCCAACATTTCTTTATTTTTTCTTCTCAATGTCCTGTTCTGCAGCTTCCTTGGCTCTTTTTGCTTGGATGCCGAAGAGCCAGGCATTGGCACGGTCCATGCAAAGGCTAGCAAATGCTTTGAAGTTCTTCTCCTCTGTGATGGCCCTGGCTTTCTCCTTTTTGTAGACCTTCCGGATGGGCATTACTGGTCCTGTCAGCTGCTTGGCCAATTTGAGTTCTTCAGCAGAGCTATCTCCTTTCTTGGGTGTGGAGGGCTTCCTGGGGAGGAGAATGAGCTTGGAGCGGTACTCCTTCAGCCACTGCACGTTCGCCTGCAGGGACTCTGTGGATTTGTTCCGTCTCCTGGGGTCCATAGAGATGCCAGTGGTCTGGCCTACTTTCTTGTGAATGCCGGCCACCTGTAGCTCCTTCAAACTGAAGCCCCGGCCAGCTCGGACTTTGGTGTGGTACCGTACTGTGGGGCACCTCACTGTGGGCCGGATGGGTCCAGGCACGGGGCAATGCGGCGTGCTTTTGCTTGTCAGGCTTTGCGTCTGTGGATCTTCCAGGTTGGCTGGTTGAATCAAGTGGTCACTTGTCGCTACCAGTCCTTGTGGAAGTGGGGCTTCAGAATCATGCCATTCCTGCGCCATGGCTGCCTCCTGCACAGGAGAACAGTCGAGCAGAAAGCTAGATCTTCTTTTGTCTCTGTTCCATTGCTTCTGTTAAAGGGACTGATACCTGGGTGAGATTAAAAAAAAAAATCTGTGGTACAGAATTTTGTGTATAAGTTCTTTATATCACAAAACACCCCCTTTTTTTTTTTTTAACTGTTACTAGAGGCAGTAGTTCAATACATCTCAGACATTATTGCCATAGCAAAACAACCTTGCTAATTTGGGTGCGGGTAGAATTTGATGGTGATATGTACTATTTCCTGAATACAAATCTTTGGTTTGATCTGCCAACCAGTTTGTGTATTTGTTTGTTTTGGTGGCATTGAGGTTTGAACTGAGGGCCTCACACTTGCTAGGCAGGTGCTCCCATCACCTGAGCTACTCCGCCAGCTCTGCCAACCAGTTCGATAACATGATGCTTGCTTGTTACTCATTCAGCCTAATGGACGGACTATGGAGGTGGCTGAGGATGAAGTTGCTCGAACCCCTCCAAGCATGACGGCAAAGCAGCCACCAGAGACAGACAAGAAAAATGAAAAGGTAAGTTTGAGAGCCTATAATATTATATTCAAGGTTCTTAATAAAGACAGTGACTTATAAAATGATGCTGTCCTGTTTCACAAGATTATATGTATATCTTCTATCTAAGGAAAACTCTGAAAAATCTGTATCATACTGGGGGGTAGTGAAAGTCCAAGTGAGGGGGTTTTTTTGTTATTTTAAAAGAAAGGTGTATTATAAAGTACTTCAAACATTGATGTGTTACTAAATATTCATTAGAAGTAGTTAATTTATGACTTGAATATTTTTATGAGTAAGGTTCCAGCTTTACGTATATACCCTATCACTTATTCAAAAATAGAGTTGTGTTATCTTTGACAGTATACTTGTAATATAAAAAGCTTAGCAAAATTGTCCAGTGATATTAAAATAAATCTGTGTTAGGATAGAGAGCTAATCATCTACTTATTAGATAATTTCTCTTTGCTTATGAAAAGAAATGTTCTGTACTTGGGTCATCATTTAAAGGTTTTGAATGTGAAGTTTTCCAACTACAGCAATCTCATCATATTTCTTAAATGGTACATTCCTGGAATTTTACTAATTTTCCAATTTCTGGTATTAGAACTGACTCGTTCTAGGCAAAATAAACTTTCTTTTACACTTTTCTTCTACATTTAGTAATGAATTTCGATATGACATTTTCATGCATAAATATAATGTACTTTGATCATATACTCCTCCCCACTATTCTCTCTTATACCCCCTCCACCCCCTACCGGTCCCCTTCCTATAAGAAACTCTTTAACAGTGGCTCCTTCTACTATGAGAGACTTTCTTGAATTCCTTTTGTTCACTTTGCACATGCATAACCCCTTGGTGTGAGGGGGTAGGAACAACCACAGAGAGGTAAATAATTTTTAGGAATCAAGTGCAGCAGCTCCAGCTCTATGGAATAGTGCTATGAAGTGGTTGCTATGGTTTGTTTTTGTTGTTTGAGGTACTAGGGTTTGAATTCAGGGCCTTGCACTTGCTAGGCAAATGTTACACCACTTGAGTTCTTTTTTTTGCTTTTGTTATTTTTCAGACAGGGTCTTGCACTTTTTGCCTGCGTCAATTTTGGACCACAAGCCTCCTACCTACATTTCCTGCATAGCTGGGATTACAGGCATGTACTAACATGCCTGGCTTATTTGTTGATGTGTTGTTGTCCTACCAATTTCTTAATGCTTGCAATTTCAGAACATCTTTGAAGAATGGGTGAGCAGTTCTCCCCTGTAACTTAGTGACATTAGTCTAGAGCCAAGATAACTGCAGGTAGAATGGCTTGAATTGAAGGATAGTTGTGGGAAAGAAATTTATGTTTGTTTTTGCTTTTGACAGAAAAGTAAATTTATAAATGACTTGTTTTAACAAGTAAGCATATAATTTAAGGATTGTGAGTTTACAGAGTTAGTAATTGATGTGCTTAATACAGATTTAAACATCTCCCACCTATTATTTCCTTCTTCTAGGCTGCCTTTATCAGTGAGCATTTTATACTTAAACCTGCTTCTACTCTCTGAGTTTCCCTGAAAGTTTTATAGTTGGAATAATTAATGAACTATAATAATCTCTAATGAATCATGTAGAGTTCAGTGTAGCAGAGTATCAAATTCAGTTTAAAGTTTAAAATCATCATTCTGAAGTTTCTTAATGGTAAGAGGTAATTATAATAGTTGGTATTTATTGAGTATAATACAGCAGGCACCATGCAAAATGAGGTGTGTACGTGCATATGTGTGAATACCTTAGTGTCCCTCACTAAGTAGGGACAAATTAGTGAGCATTTACTAAGTGGTGGCATCATACCTATTTTTGTTGTTGTTTATTTTTAAATGATCAACCTTTAGTGATCATCAGTACCCCCATCACTTTAAACTGTCTTAGGTATCATATTTCTTCATGCTAAATCATGAATTCTGGGTTGCAAAAGGGAATATTTTTGCACCTGTCTGTAAGTCTTTGTCCACATACCTATTTTACAAATGAGAAATCTGAGACCTAAGTTACCTACGCTGTAAAATGTCTAGTCAGAGCTGGATGCAGTGGTTCAAGCCTGTAATCCTAGCTGCTCGAGGATCACAGTTTGAGGCCAGCCCAGGGAAAGTTTAAGAAAACCCATCTCCAACCATTGACTGCATACTGTGGTGTGCTCCTGTCTTCCCCAGATATGTAGGATCACAGTCCAGGCCAGCTCAGGCATCAAAGGGGCTGGCAGAGTGGCTCAAGTGGTACAGTGCCTGCCTAGCAAGCACAAGGCCCTAAGTTTGAGCCCCACCAAAAACAAAAAAAAAGGTACAGTCAGTTCTAACCCAGACCCATCTAACTTCAAAGTCTGTATTTTTATTGCCCTATTTTATTTTTAAGCTTCTCAAAAACCCAGCCAGGCAGAGAGTAACAGTCCTACAACTCATGACCAGGGTTCCTTTTTTGCCATCTTGTATCTTGAACTTAAACTTTTTAACATTATCATGTATTTGTTTTCCTCTCATAGCCACAATCTTGGACACTTTGAGAAATACAATTTTTGCCCAGAGAGTAATTGCATCCTAAGCTGTGCTAATGATTACCTTTTCCTGTTAATTTGAGTAAGCCTTAGAGATAAATCTTTGTCTAGAAACTGTAAAATGAGCTAGAGAGCTTAGGTATATAGATTGTTGTTTTGGCTTTTTTGATGCTGTTGGGGTTTGAACTCAGGTCCTCCCAACTTGCTAGGCAGGCGCTCTACCACTTGAGCTACTCTTCCAGCCCTGAGGGCTTAGGTCTATAAAGCATACTAAACTGCCATCGTTTTCTAGGTCCTTGAATATGAAGGCCAGTGCTTCATTGATACTGTTTTCTAGTAGTAGTCACATTGGGCCATTAGCCAGGCAGAATGCACTAATTGCTGAAGGGAATTAAGGGAAATGTAAGATGTTCTTGCCCTCAGAGAGGTTACAGTCTAGGTAAGGAAAGGCAAACAGAGAAGCATCTGGTAACATAGACCATTAGGTACCAGGTAGTCAGAAAAGGAAGGGTATCTTATTTGGATAGCCAAAAAAAAAACTGACTCTTAAATATGGGTGGTACAAGTGGGGAGGATAATTTTTGGAAAAAAGGCAAATAAACACAGTTATACATTTCCAGATGAAACAAGTGAATATATTTAGACACATTCAAGGGAAAAGCCCTAGACAGGTTTGGCAGGTCAAGGAAGGCAGTGAATATGATAAAAAGTTAGATGTGTTCAGCTGGAAGCAACACTTACTTTTTTCTTAGCATATAATACTTGTGACATTTATAAATATGCTTATAATTTCTTAATTAAATTTACCCCCTCCATTGTACTCCCTCATCTCTCCCTCCCCCCCAGAACAATTTCAGCAGCTTTCATTGTTCTATTTTCATACGTGAATATAAAATATATTCACATTTGCCCTTCTTTACCCTTTCCTTATGCCTTCTCCCTTCCTACTGATACCCACCCCTGGACAGGACCTGTTTTACTTTCCTATCCTGGAAGCAACATTTATGATTAATGAATCATGTATGTCTGTGGTTATAAGCATCTGAATTAAGTTAAAAGTATAAAGATTACTAGTTAAACAATAGAAGCAAAAATGTATAAGGAAGCTGTAAAAATAATTATTTTTTTAAACCTTGGTCCTTAAATAGATGCTTTTTTAATTATTCCATATGATGAAATGGGTATATGTGTACGAAGGTATGTTGCATACAGAAAAACAATGGTTATCTTAAGGAAAAACACTTGTATAATTAGTTGTAAACTGAGAATCACTTACTTCATATTACTCATTTTTCACTTGAAATAATGATTGATACACAGCCATGGTTATTCAAACTTTGGTATTTGTAGACATTTTCTCAAATAAAGTGCTACTGTTACTTCAAGGGAAACACTGGTTAGTATTTGTTGCAAATGATAAAATGATTTGTTGTTGAATGAAAATTAGAAATTTCGAAGATTCGTATGTTACCATGAGCTTGACAACTTTCCAGTACTTAAAGAATTTATGATGACATCAACTGTAATGTTAAAAATGTGATTTTTTTTTTTAAAAAAATAACATCTTATGATGGAATGTTTTAACATTTTGTAAGATCTGTATAAGTTAGTGAATCAAGGCTTTCTAATTGACCAACACTTGCATGTTACCAATCCATGCATAAAATATTTCATTCAAAGTGGATGAATTTTAATGTACAGTATATAGAAAGTTCATTAATGCAGTTTCAGATTATATGTTTCAACAACTTTTAAGAAACTGCCATGAAATGTTGTAATATTTTTTTTTCCTTTCTGTACTTAAAACATGTCTTCCCATTGCTCTTAGAAAACACACTATAATCTGTGTACCTGCCTGTGGCATCAGTCTAATCTCCTACTTCTTACCTTTCCTCAATTCCAGCCACAATAGTTTCCTCCCTCCCTCCCTGCTTTATTTTGGAAAATACCATAAAATTCACTCTCAAGTATAATTTTAATGTATTAGAGTTATACAGACATCACCATGTTCTAATTTTAGAACATTTTCCTCACCCCATAAAGAAATCTTACAATCATTAGTAGTCACTCACCATTTTCTCTCTTTCCCCAATCATCTCCAGCCTGGCAACCACTATCTCTGGTGTGATATCAAGGAAGAATATCCATAGTTATCCGAAAAAAAAACTAACAGAATTCTCTCTCCCTTTTCCAGTTACATAGCAATTTATGGGCTGCAGATGTAGTTCAGGATAGAGCACTGGCCCTGGTTTCGAGTCCCAGCACCCCCCCGCCCCCGCCAATACACACACACACACACACACACACACACACACACGTATATGTACATAACCAATTTCATTCAAAACAACATATTGAAATAAAACTTCATTTCTGCCCAATGTATCATTTTTCCACTATATCATGGGTTTATCAGACATAAAGTGGCAAGAGAAGATTGAAACACAGTGAATGGTGAATTTGTTTTTAAACATGCTGAGATTGAGGTGAG